CCGGAGCCGGCCCACTGCCCGCTCGCGCGACGTCCTGGCGCAGACGAGGCTCATCCAGGGCCGCGGTTCAGGGCCGCCTCGGGGTTGGCGGAGCGGCCGGGGGTGGACTGGGAACGTGGGGGCTGGTTACACGGTTGCGTTTAACTGTCGATACTCATCCCATGGATCACTCCAGATCTGTGCATTTGTGTGTATGTACGTTGTACGCCAGCAGTTATTTGAAAAGCGTCTTAGCTTGGGCTGCCGTCCCGAAGTACCAAACACTGGGCGGCTTAAACAGTGAACTTCACGTCCCACAGCACAGCCTGGAGGCTGGAAGCCCAGGTCAAGCTTCCCGCCGAGGCCTCGCTCCCCCGAGTGCCGACGGCCGTCTTCGTACTGCGTCCTCGCGGGCCATCCGTGTGCCGGTGTGCTCCTGGCGTCTCTTCCGCTTCTTGGGAGGACACCTGTCCCTTTGGAGGAGGATCCTACCTGAATGATATCACTTACCCCTAATTCCCGCCTTGTAAGGCCCCCTCTCCCCATACGCTCGGTTTCACTGGGGATTGGGGTTTCAACATACGAATTTTGGGGAACACAATTCAGTCTATAAGAAAGACTAAAAGAATACGCCTGCCTCGTGGCATGGTCGTAAGGATTAAACGATCAAATGAGGGCAGGCCAGGGCCAGGGGCCCCAGCCCACGAAGGAGGGGAGGCCGTGTTCCCATAGCCGGTTCTGGGGGCCTGTTGCCGCGCCTGCCCTCTCGGGGACTGTCACCCAGCAGTGGGTGGGGGCCAGGGCTTGCACGGAAGTGAAGTCACTGGGGCTGTTGTGACCCACGGGACAGAAACCGCTTGACAAACCTGCCAAGATCCAAGGGCCTGCCCACAGGTGCCATTCTGCGCAGTGACGCTGGCAGAGGCCGCCCTGGACGTCCCGCCGGCCGCTGGGAATGAACCGCGGCCACCGCCTGCCCCCGCACAGAGGAGGACACAGCGCATGGCGGGGTGGTCTGGCTTTGAGGGGATGCAGGCCCCACGTCTGGGGGAATAGCCAGCTCCTACCCATCCCCGAGAAGGCCGGGCGTGAGCGCGGGCCTGAGCGATCGGAGGCTGCGTCTGACCTGCCGAGCGAGCGCAGCGGCTCTGTGGGCGCCAGGGCCCTGGTGCGGCCCCTGCAAGTGAGAGCTGGCGGTTCCCGCAGCCCGTGAGTGCCACCCAGCGGCAAATGGGGGGATTTCGGACCAGAACGTTGCCAGACGCGGGGATGTGGTGGTTGCCATTTGAGACTGCTAGCTGGCTCTTGGGGATTGACCGAAACTGCCCCTAAGACTGAGGGCAGAAAGTCATCTTGAAACCCAAAGTACCCATGAGGCCTTGGGGGACACCAGAGAGACATTCGGACGAGGGGAACAGAAAGCTCCATGACAAAGTGGAAATGACTTAGGAGTGTGCTGTTGCGGGGCACGTGGCGGGGGGCTGTCCTCTACAGCCAACCTCAGAGCCACCTGTGGGGCTGCCGGGTCCCGCTGCCACGTGGGCAGTGTGCTGTGAGCCACTCTTGACCGACCAGCGAGATCTCAGTTCCAGGGAGAGGGACAGCACTGTGTGTGGAGGGTCAGCCGCTCTCTAACCAGCTGGTGGACAAGGCTGACTGAGGAAGGAGAGGGCCCGCTCGGGGGCCGGGCTGGGTGCTGGCTTCCTGGCGGAGCTGGAAGAACTAAACAGCACTGAAGGCCTCGTGTGGGCGTGCCGTGCACTCAGGCGCAGTGGCCGGCGGCCCCGCGCTGGGACCAGGCAGCTGAGCAACGGAAAAACGGACTCTTAGGGGGATGCAGGCGTAGGGCACGGTCCTACGGAAGTCACCCTGGGGACCTGGGGCCCATGGAAGTGACCCCCTTCCAGGACGGGTGGGAAACAGCACATGGGAATCCCGGGTGCTGACTGGCAGCGGCCCCCGGGGCCCCTGGAAGGAGTGGGCTCCAGGGCTGCAGCGGCGCAGATGGGGAGTGTCGGTGGCGTCTCTCTTGCTCCCTCAGAGGCACAATATGCCAACCAGGCTGCGCGGGGGGGGGGGGGGGGGCGGAGAGGAAGCGTGCAACTGGCTAAGGGCGGAGGAGGGCGGTTCTCTGGGGCCCGGCCCGCACGCGTGTGGACAGCATCAGCCCACCGCAGGTCGCCCCGGAGGCTGCAGGTGCGTCCTGACGCCTACCCCGAGCCGGCCTTTGCATACCCGATGTTGGGAGAAATGCTTAAAGTGCCACGAAAGGACTGGGAAGAAGATCCTGTTCTGATTTGGGACACAGGTTTCTTGAAAGCAGGGTGTGTGCTCTGCAGCCCACAGCGTCAGACCGTGGGCACGAGGACACCACGTCGAGTGCACGTGTCCCGATGCGTTTCGTCCCCCGAGCAGAGATGCGGTAGAGACTTGTTTACAAGGGTGGCGGGTAAGGGCCCTTGGTGCTGTGGGCTGGCCCACGCGCCTTCACAAGCGCGCTCACAGTCACCACGGGGGTGGCCGGGGGGCCCCACTAGATGGAGCCTCCTCTGCCGGGGGTCCTGGGGAGAGCGGACGGGGAAGAGCCGACCGCAGCTTGCCTTTCCCCACCCGAACGGTGGTCCTGGGGCCAAGGCTGCAGCTGTGCGTGCTGGAAGCAGAGACAGCGCTCAGGGACGAGAAGCTGTAGCTCTAAACCTTTGTGTCGGAATTTCTAGGGTGGGCAGAGCAGACGGTGCCTTCATCCTCTCTGGGCAACGTGGCCCCCTGGCCCTCTGGCGGCCCCACCCTGCGTGCAGGCTGTGGACCCACAGGGAGGACACTGGCTGGGCCGACGCTGCTGCCCTCCACCCGGACCAGCACTGGCCAAGCCGAACGTCTCAGAGGTGGAAGCGTTTGGGCTAAAATCAACGCCTCATTCAGAGGAACAGAAACAATGCCCGTGGGAAACCGGGGTGCACAAAAGGAAATGCCGATGGCCACTGAGACGGGACAGGGATGTTTTTGTGACATGCGGGAAGGCACACGGCTCTTAAACAGGAAAGTAAACAGCGCCAGCCTAAAGGAAAAGTGAATGGAGGAGAGCACTCACTCACAGAGGAGCACCTCTCCATTAGTAACATCTCCCTGTAAGCACGGAGCCCTCACCTGTCCCCAGGGCCATGCCGTGGGCTGTTTTCCTTAAGTCTGCATTCCTGTGGATCTATTAAGGGCAAGTGGATGTGGAAACCACACTCACCGTAGAGGCTCAGATTAATCCATTCTCTCCCCAGGTGCCAGGAACAGGTCACTCGCCCCAAGTCCCAGGGACTGGGTGGGGACAGGATAGACACCTCCATCGAGGTTAGTAAGTGGAAAGCAGGTGTGTGCACACGAATTACAAAACCGTTTCCCCCAGTGGGCAGGCCAGTTCTCGCCCCGCCCGGCAGCGGCTCCAAATCCTCACCAGCGCTTGGTGGTGTGTTTTTCAATTTAGCCATCCTTCCGGGTCCTAACGGTACCGCATTGTAACTTTAATGTGCACCTTTGTAACGTTTAGTGGTTCATTCTTTTGGCTATGCCCTATTGACATGCCAGTTCAATCAAGTCTTTTGCCTATTTTTATATTGAGTCACTTTTTTTCCTTTTTAACATGCAGGAGTTCTTACATATTCTGGACACATGCCCTCTGTTGGCTGTATTTATTGTAAAAAACATCCTAGTTTCTGGGCCTGCCTTTTTATTCTCTTAATGGTGTCTTGAGGAAGAGAAGTTCTTTGTTTTGATATCCAATTTGTCTGTTTCCCCCCTTTTAGTTTTTTTACTTTCAAAGAAATGTTTGCCTAAACCAAGGTCGTGAAAATATTTTCCAGTTTTATTGTTTTACTTTCCGTGTGTAGATTTACAATCAGTCTGACATTGATTTTTATTTATGGTATGAAATCCCAGTTAAAATTCGTTCTTGTCTGTATGGATATCAGATTGACCAGCACCCACCAATTACTGAAAGACCAAGTTCTCCCTCTGCAATGTCCCGCTTTTGTAACCGACGACGAGCCAGCCAGCCGACCTGGTCGCTCATTCAGCCCCATCTGTCTGCGTGCCTGCAGCAATGCCATGCTGTTGTCATTCCTACAGCTTTTTCCTACGTCTTGATAGCTGGTCCTAAGTTCCCCCTCATTGTTCTTTTTGTTCACCATCGCCTTAATTCAGCCCTTCCCAAGTTAGGGTGGGGTATGCGTTATAGAATCAGCTGGTCAACTTCAATAAAAGAAAAATAAGTTGGGTTTTTGAGACTGAATTGAATCCGTAGACGACTTGGGAGATAACAGTCATCTTTGCACTTCTGAGGACAAGGCACGCCCCCTATTCGTTTAGGACCAGCAAGTCCGGCAACACCGAGCTACTCGACACTTGTCTCACGCCAAGGGCCCTCCCGGCCCTCAGGCTGGGAGTCGGTGAGCTGCCCGATTCCGCCGACGCTGGGCTTGGAGTTCGGGTCTCTCCCTGGCCCGGCGTGCCCGGCCGCGGGTGTGTGAGACGCTGAGACCCAGAGAGCAAACACCGAGCCCTGGGCCGTGCAGGTGTGTTCCGAGCGCGCTCCCGGCGAAGCCGTCAGGCTCCACTGGGCTGGGTAGGTTGAACGCACTTTTGACACAGGGTTGCAAGCCCCTCCTAAGTCGGGGGCACCCACCCCTGTTTTGGACGAGCAGGAATTCTGACGTTGGAGGAGCCTCCGTCGACAGGGCCTCCGGTGTGTCCACCGCGCCCCGTTCCCCGCGGCCCCGAGCACCCGTCCCAGCCGCAGCGATCTTGGCGCTACGAACATTTTCGCGGAGGCGAGGACGAAGTCGGCAGCGCTCTGCGGGGGCCGGGGAGGGCGGGGCGGCCAGCGCTGCCAGCGCCCGAGCCTCGGCGAGGTGAAACCCGTGCGAGGGCCACCGCCGGGAGCCCCCACCCCGCTCTTCGCGCCTGCGCCCGCCGTCCTGCGGGAAGTTCCCTACAGGCGCCGCACGGGCACCTCGGCCGTGACGTCACGGACGCGCGCCGGTTGCGAGAAAGGACCCCGGCGCGACCGCGTCCCCTCGGGTCCTTGAGCCGTTGCCGACGGGGGAGCCATGGCCTTGACGCTGCTGAGACTGGCGCCGGCGTCCGCGCGGGGCCTCGTGGCGGGGGCCCAGCGCTTGGTGAGGCGGAGGGCGGGGTCCGCCTGTCCTTGCGGCGCCGGGCCTCTGGGCGGCGGCTCCCAGGGTCACTGTCGGGGGCGGGGGGACAGACGCTCCTGCCCCGGGTCCCGAGTGGCGGGCAGACCTCAGGGGCCCGCGAGCCTCTCCCGGCCTCTTATTCTCGGCTCCACGCAGAGCCCAGGGCATGAGGCGAACAGGCCGCCGGGCTCCCTGGTGTGGGAGACCGGCGCGCAGACCCCGCTCGCCGGGCAGGTGCGGCCGACGTGCCAGCCGCGCTCGTGGCTTCCCGGTGTCGGGCAGCAGCTCTGACGGCCGGGGCGCGGGCGGGCGTCGCGGGGCAGGAACGGGGGAAGGCGTCTGGGTTGCACTTGGAAGGATGAGGGACTCCTGTGGCAGCAAACAGGATGCCCCGGATGCCCCTGCCCGCGGAGGGTCCGGAGAAGCTGTGGCTGGAAAGCTGAGGGAAAGTCACTGTGACTGGCTGGCAGGGGCGGGCGACCTTGGCGTCATCCGTAAAGGGATGTGACTCCGTGCTCAGGTTTTTGAGCAGTACACTGAATTAGTCTTATTAAAAACTCATAGACGTATGTGTAAGAGGTAATAGGCTTCAAAAGAGAAGAAAGCGAGAAAAGTGGTTGTCTTTTTACTACTCAGGGTGCGGGGACCTGTTGGGGTGGAAGCGAGGGCCCAGAGCAGCGGGGTGATGACCTGAAGTGTCTTCTCTGGCCCGGCCTGACCCGCCAGGGGTTCTACCCTCTGTGGCGCATAAGGACGCGCTTCCCGAGTTGGGGGAAGCGTGTGGATGACCAGGGTGCCCGCCGTGGGACCCGACCAGGGACCGGAGGAGCTGGACGTGTGTGACTCGTTCTGCGGGATCCCAGAGCGCGGAGGGATGAGACCGGGGCGGGGGCGGGGGGCGGGACCACCATAACCAGGAAGGTGCCCTTTCTAAAGCTTCCAAAGGCCAGAAACGGTCGGCTGGTTCAGACGCAGCTGCAGGGGCTTGGTGCCACGTCTGTGGCCGTTCCAGTGGTGGACGCAGACGGGAAACCGTTGGTGCCTGGCGCCTGGGGGGCCTAGAGGAGAGGGGGTTAATTTGTGGGGTGCAGGCCGCCAGAATGACTACTGCCCCCTCTGCTTGGGAGACCCTCTTCCCAGTGGCCTCTGGGCCACTTCCCTCATTGCCTTCCAGCCTTTGCTCGGACGCCTCTTTCTGCAGGGGCCCCCGGGCCACCCGTGGCAGCCCATCCTGAGGCCACGCTTCCCTCCCCAGCGCTTAGGTGACATGCTCTATCATGAGTTACTTTTTTGTTTTGTCATGGAATCCTTTGGTTCGCTCAGTCGTGAGTCCCATTGTCTAGAAAAAGCGCTCTGCATAGTGCAGGCTCCTAGTCAGCACCTGTTAGGTGGGGTAAGCGGATGAGTGGCGCAGCCGCCTGGGAGGGGAGACGGGTGAGGCCCCCGCGAACGGTGGGGGCCCGAGGCGTGGGGACGTGGGGGATACGCTGCCGCTCACCAGCCTCTGCCGCCTCGGGGCTGTGGGTGGTCTCGTCACCGGCTGCTGCAGACGGGACTCCGCAAGCTTGTTGCTGTGCTTCCTCTCGGGTTTTTTTCCTGCTGTAAGTTTTCCTGTGTGTGTGTGGGGGGGGGGGGGTTGACACCGTTGGGATCACGCAGTGCCTTCTCTCCTTCTCCTGGAAGTAACTGCCGCCAGGCTTCACTCGGGTTTCCTCAGTTTTCCCCTGACATCCTTCTGTCCCAGGGTCCCCTGCAGGAGGCCGCACTGCAGGTGGTTGCCGTTTATCTTTAGGCTCCTTCTGGTGCTTTTGGGTTTCCAGATTTTCTTGGTTCTGACGGTCTTGACGGTTCTGAGCAGCGCTGGGTGCCTCCCTGGGGCTCGTCCGGTGTCTCTCCCGTGACGAGGCTGGGGCTGTGCGCGGTTGGGAGGAAGACCCCAGGGGTGGCCTGCCCTTCTTGTCACACGCTATCCAGGGTGCCCACTGTGGCCGTGACTGACCACTGTGGATGTGGCCTCTCGTCACCGGGCGAGGCAGTGCCTCTGCCATACGGTTACTCCCTCCCCTGCTTCCCCTGAGCTCTGGGGGGACGTCCCTGTGTGCCGCTCATGCCTGCGGAGGAGGGTCACGCTCGCTCTCGCCGGTGGGAGACCTGCATGAATCGTTCGGGATCGTCAGGCGCGGGAGAGCCGTGTCCTCCACGTTGTTTGTCCCACCTGGGCGGGCTCACCGATGGGTGCGCGTGTTGCGCATTGGGCTGCCACGCGTTACGCTCAGTACTGTTGCCCAGGGTGCTCTGGCTGTGGCCGCGAGGAACTCGCTCGGTTGGCTGTGTGCGCGCCCGGGCATACTTGCTGCCCGTCTTGCCCCGTGAGGTCATCCAGCTCACCTCTGCATTTCCTGCCTTGTCCTGGCATCAGCCCCTTCTCCAAGGAGCTGTGACCCCTTTTATTGGAGGGCAGTGTCAGCAGCCAAGGTCTGGGCACCAGGTGTCACCGCTCCTGGGGTGTCCTTGCTGCCAGGTCCTCTCAGCAGACGGAGCAAGGACATAGGCTGCGCCGTGTGTGCACCCGAATCGGTAAACGTCTGCGTGTGACCACCTGCATTCCGCTGAGCAGGAGATCACGGATGTGTCTGCCCTGACCAGCGCCACGTGGAGGACCCTGCTCCGGCCTCCCTGGCTGGCTGCGCCCCAGCCTGCTCCGGGGGGGGGCGGGCCCTGGCTCCTGCCATCTGCTGTACCTAACTGCTCAGGGCTAGGGTGTGCCCGTGTCAGAACCGCCGCCTCTGCCCCGTGGGAAATGTCTTTACCTGAAAGAGTGCACCTGCCCCTTCAGTCTCGCAGACGCCACTGTTCCCCGAGGTCAGCACCTTTCCCCCCATCCCCTGCAGTGGGGTGGTTTCCTACATTTGTAACTCAGTTGGTTTGGCCACATTCTGCCTTCAATTCTGGGATGTCTCTACCTAAAAGGGGTTTTTAAAATCTGCATGCGCCGAGGTTCACTCTTCGTGCTGTGAAGTGTGGGTTTTGACGCGGGCGTGGTGTCCCGTACCCACCATTCAGCGTCTCGCAGAGTCGTTTTTCTGCCCTACACATTCCCCGTTTTTCTACTCCCCAAATGCCGGCACCCTCTGATCCGTCCCGTTTCTCTAGTTTTGCCTCTGCTACCATGTCATATATCGGAAGCCTACATTCTGTTGGCTTTGCACACCACCTCTTATTACTTAGAGACGTGCACTTAGAGAAACAACTCTGCCCGTGGCTTGGTGGCATCTCCCTTTTCCTTGCCGTGGAATAGCCACAGGCAGAGCTGCGACACAGCTGTCTTTTCAACCCTTGACAGACACCGGGGTTGCTTTCAGTCCGTGGTGATTGTGAACGAAGCTGCTGTAGTCAGATGTGTGCAGGTTTCTTTGTGGAAATTGCTGGATCATGTGGTAAGACCACATTTGGTTTCATAAGAAGCTGTGGAGCCGTCTCCCAGAGCAGCTGTCCCGCCGTGCTCCGCCACCAGCGGCGCGCCTGGAGCTCTGTGGGGACGGGAGGCTCAGACCAGCAGGACGTGCGTGGTGGTGGAGCTGGAGGAAGGGGGTCTTCTGTTCTGGGCCCTGTTCCAGGCCCTGAGGATTCAGCAGTGAACCTGCGACCTTATGAGCTTGCGTTGAGGGTGGGCGGGAGACCTGTAATTAAATAGACAGGTGGCGAGGTTGCAGGTGTTGGCGTTTCCCCGAGTTGCGGCAGACGCCGCCACGGCCAGCGCACCCACACAGTGCCTTCTTGTCTCAGGCCGGGGTCCACACGAGCGTGCAGCATCAGCGGCTCTACGGCCCGTGGGCATTCGTGCTGGGTGAGAGGACAACCAAAAAGCTGACGGAATCCAGCAAGGTGATAACGGTCGACGGCAACCTGTGTTCCGGCAAAAGCAAGATCGCGAAGGCGGTGGCTGAGAAACTAGGTAGGAGCCTGGTCACGCCGAGTGGCAGCGTTTCCACGGACGTGTGGCCGCGTCTCTGAGTGTGGGTTTACTGTGATTTTGCCCGGGTGGAATTGGGCTAAGGCAGGTATTTCGCATTTTTAAAATATGCATTTAAAAGTCATTTCTAGTCGTTTACATTCGGGGAATTAGAAAGCCCTCGCCATCCTCGGTTTGGTGGGAGCTGTGCTCGCCTTGGCGGTGGACGCGGAGCACGGGGCCCGGCCATCGCGCTCGCGCTTTGTGCCACCGCTGACACAGCGTCTGCGCCGTCACCAGATGGGCGGACTCAGTGTGAGGCCGACGTCCCGTGCGGGCTTGTTCCCCGCTCTGGGGCGGGTGTGCGGGCGCCGTGCCTCCCTGGGGCCCTTGACTGGCACTCACTCACCCGCCTGCTCTCGCACACCTGCTCGCGGGCTCCCACGGGGGTGGGAGGGGCTCAGATGGGGCGTGGTCCCCAGGCCCTCCCTGGCCAGCCCTGAGCTGGCGTGAGCCGGGGTGCCCACAGGCTTGGTTCCCCGAGGAGGGGAGGGGCGGGGGACGGCTGCAGCGCGCTTCCCCGCCGGTCTCCCTGCAGGCATGAGGCACTTCCCCGAGGCCGGCATCCACTACGTAGACAGCACGACGGGGGACGGCCGGCTGCTGGACCCGGAGCTCAGCGGCAGCTGCAGCCTGGAGAAGTTCTACGATGACCCGAAGAGTAATGACGGCAACAGCTACCGCCTGCAGTCCTGGCTGTACGCCAATCGCCTCCTGCAGTACGCGGATGCCTTGGAGCACCTGCTGAGCACAGGTGCCATGCCCGCGGCCAGGTGGCGGGTGGGCGTGGTCTGCGCGTGGTCCGTGCGTGAACCCTGCTCCGGAGCTCAGCCACTTCAGGTCGCCACCAGGGAGCTTTGCCTTGGGGCATCTGAGGGGGCCATGCTCTCGTCCCATAAGGCCATGAATTCCCCAAGACCCAGGGGGTCGTTGCTGCAGAAGAAAAGGACTTTGGCATGATCCCACTTTTGGGTCCTGGCGTGAGACTTAGAGATTTCAGTGTCTGTGGCACACGTGTCCCCACAGTGGAGGAGGAAAGATCCTCCCAATGACCGGGGTGGGGGTGGGGGTGGCGCTGGAATCGGAGCCGTGAGGACAGGCACGTGTTCTGGACAGTGAAGGCTGCCACCGAGGCTCCGAGGGGGGCCGGAACCCTGCACCGCACCCCAGGGCGGGGGTTAGCCCTCGGGCGATGGCAGGCAGGGGGTGCCCGGGAAGTGAAGCCGGGGAGATCGGGGTGAGCGTGGAACGGATGCCACGTTGGGCAGGCGCAGGGCCGTGGTGGGCATGGGGCGGGGCCCTGGGGCCGAGAACAGCCACCCTTCTCCTCTGGGTCGGGCGCCTGCGTGGGTGGCACTGGCAGGAGGAAGCGGGACGTTCTCCGGCCTGACCAGAAGAGCAGCGCAGTGTGTGGGAGCCGCCCCGCCCTCAGCGCCCCACACTCTGAGGCTGCCAGGCCTGCGGACAGCCGGGGTTCCCCGTCCTCGGGTGGGGTGGCCGCTCCGGGTGCTCGCCTTGCCTTGTCTGACTGCGGTTCCTGCCCCCCTTGCACAGGGCAGGGGGTCGTGCTGGAGCGCTCAGTCTACAGCGACTTCGTGTTCCTGGAGGCCATGTACCAGCAGGGCTTCATCCGGAAGCAGTGTGAGTCCTGCCGCCCGCTGGCCAGGCTGTTGCCTCCAGCGCACACGCCATCTCTGAGCGCCCGCTGAGCCGCCCCCACGGGGGCGGCGCCGGCACACAGCGCAGCCCCCAGCTCCCACACAGCCTCCCCGGGAGACCTCCTGCCCTCTGTCCTGCCTGGCAGGACGCCTGGGCTGCTCCACTTTGGCCAGTAGATCTGATTCCCTGCCCTGTGCCATCTCCGGTGTGCTGCTTTGTGTCACTAGAGGCGTTTTTTCTCTGGTGCCCGCCCCGGTTGTGGCCAGTGTTGTCACCTCCCCGTCTCCCTCCCTTGGGCCCAGTGCCCAGCACTGGGCGTCGCTCAGAGTCCAGCGAGTGGCACGCGGGCAGGACTAGGCCGCAGCTGGGGGGAGGGCAGCAGGCGCTGTGCGCGAGGGCCAGGCCTGCAGCTCGCAGAGTGACGCCGGGTTCTGAGAGCTGCGTGTGCCCTCGCCCCTCGTGTCTGGACACAGAGCGCGTTGTCGGAGCCTGGGCTCAGGCTGGGCTGACCGGCGGCGCCTCTCGCGTGTGCCAGGCGTGGACCACTACAACGAGGTGAAGAAGGTGACCATCTCCCAGCTCCTGCCGCCCCACGTGGCGATTTACATCGACGTGCCCGTGCCGGAGGTCCAGAGCCGGATCCAGAAGAAGGGAGACGTGAGTCAGCTTCCCCCGTGGCCGCCGCCCCCGGGACCGCCCGTTCTGCGCGCGGGCCGGCACTCCTTGGCAGTGTCTGCGGTGGGAGGCCGGGAAGACGCTGGCACCGCAGGGAGGGGTGCCTACGCCAGTCCGTGCTCGTCCCCCGTGCCTACGTCCCCTGCCCCGTCCAGACGGACAGGGCCGTCTGCCGGCCAGCCTGCCCTTGGCCGCGGACCGTTGGCCCTCTGCTGAGGCTCCTGTGCCTCTCGCTCCCCTGTGACTCAGAGCCGACCTCTGAGGGCTCCTCTGTCCCTGTAACTCGGAGCACCTCGCCCCTCCCTGCTTGCTGCCCGGGGGACAGTGGAGCGGCCACCCCCACACACGTCCAGTTACAGCCGTGGCCTTGGCTGAGGCCGGGTCTGGCGGTGCTGCTCCGTGGGCACGGTGGGGGATGCAGGAGCCCCGGTGAGGACCCCGGCCCCGCGCCTGCTGCCATGGGGAAACGTCCGTCCCCCATGCACGTTTTCCGGGGGAAGGGGGACCTGCTCTTTGACACTGGGGCGAAGATGAGAGAAATCTTTGGTGGCCCCAAGGTCCCTTCCGATCCCCCCGCCCCCCTCGACCCCAGCACCCAGCACGAGTCCTGCGCCGTCAGGAGAAAACGCCGTCCGCGATTGTCATCGTGGCTCGCGTGTGCGCGGCTAAGGGGCTGGCCCGGGGGCTGACCCTCTGCTCCTGCTTTGTGCAGCCGCACGAGATGAAAGTCACCGCTGCCTACCTGCAAGCCATCGAGGACGCCTATAAGAAGGCCTTCCTCCCGGAGATGAGGTGAGCCCTCGGGGGTGGCACGCCCTCCCGTGCACCCGGCACCGCCGGCCCGGAGCTGCCTGGCTCGCCGTCGAGTGCCACCTGGGTGTTCAAATCTGCTGGTGCTGAGCAAGGGCGGCAGCTGGCATTCTGCGGTGATTGGGTGCGTTTTTGGTCGGTCGTTGAGTTGGTCTGCTTGCTTATTTCGACGACACTTTTCTTTGTCTGGTTATAGTCTTTCGATGCCAGAAGTAGACTGAAGCCGCATTGTGCCACGGGTTTCAGCGCCAGAGAATGCGAGTGTTTTTGCTTCTGGTGGCCACCGACCGCGCATGCTGACCTAGAAGGATGGCTCGGTGTGCTCAGGGGAGGCGCAGGCTCTGTGGGCCCTGAAATGAAGTCTTTTCTCCTCCCCCCCTTATTGAAACGGAGCTGTGACCCCACGACCTGTCATTCGGGTAGCTCTTGAAAACCTGCAGCGCATGAGCCTCTGGGCGGCATGGCCTTCGGCCGCGTGCAGACTGTGTCTGTGCAGAAGGCGTGGCCGGGGCGCGAGCCACTGCGGGAGGAGCATGAGCGGCTGTGGGAGACCGGTGTTACACGCACACACGCGTGCTCCGTCCAGTTCTGGCAGCGGGCGCCCGGGCGGGCGGGCGGAGGGGGCCTGGGCACGAAGCCAGCCGCCCGCTGCCCGCGGTGTGCGGGGGCGGCGATGTTCGCCCCGCGGTAGCAGGTGGCGTGTGGAGCTCAGAGTGCGTCCAGCTCGTGGCTTCTCGGGTGTTACTCTGGAAGGTTGGGTCCTGTCGCTAGGCAGGTGCTCTGGGACAGAGACGTCCAAGGAGAGTGTCCGTGTTGCCGGGGGCCACTCTGCCGCCTGCGTGCTGGGAGGGTCCCAGTGGTCCTGCAGGGACGGCGCTGCCACGGGCTTCTGGGCTGGGCGGCCGCGCGGGCTCGGGCCGCGGTGGCCTCCGGCCTCCGTCTGATTGGTGCGGAGGTGGTGGCCCAGCAGCTGCTAAGGCACCGACTTACCAGCCTGGCTGGGTTGCTAGGTTTCTAAATGTGGTCAGGACATGGGCACAAGTGTGGGAGTGGCACTCCACTGTCCCTTCTTTCTGGACCCCACTGTGACTGCCCAGTGTCCCTTCACTGGGGACTAAGGGAAGGAGCTGCTGCTGACCTGTGGCACAGGGCGACCGGCACGGCTGATCCCGTTCGTCTTTGAAGCGCGACGCTCCAGCAGCTCGGGCGCTCTGTGCGCGCCGTGCGCACCCACCGCAGCCCCGGGCCGCCGTCCGTGCGCGTCTCAGAGGCGCCTTCGCACTCCCTGTGACGGGCGCCGCAGCGGGGCCGTCTGCCCCTGCAGGCCCGGGTGCTCTGGCTTCTCCCGCCCGGGGGCGGGGGCGGCAGGGAAGCTGGGGGCCGACCTGCGCGTCACCACGGGCACACCCCTGCTCCTACCGTACCTCCTCCGCTGGCCAGCCAGGCGCTGGGAGCCGGGCCCAGGGCGGAGGTGACGAGTCAGGGTGTGTAGCGGCCTCTCAGTTCCGTGGCCTTTGTGCAGCGACACAAGCCCGAGGCTGACCCGGACTTTCCTCTTGTCTCCCAGCGAGAAGTCCGAGGTGTTACAGTACAGCGCGCGGGAAGCCCAGGACGCGGAGAAGGTAAGGGAATGGCCGGAAAGCGTGCGGTTATTAAATTCAGTTCCCGTGTAAGGGCCTTGCAGCTCGGCTCGTCGGCCCGGGCCCATGGCCTGGGGAGCGCCTGTGTTCACCGTCTGAGAGGAGCTCCCCGTGTTGGGCGGCCGTGGTCCACCTTTACGTGACCCCGTGTCTGTGACCGGAAAGGCGCAGGGCGGTGGGGACGCGGTAGACCCCGGGCTGCCTGCTCCAGCGCTTGCGTGGCACAGATGGTGACAATGGAAGTGACTTAGTCAACGAGGGAGGTTTAGTACCTCGAGGTGTCAGCCTTCTCCACTTGAGTAGGGGTGTTTTGTAAAAACTCAGGTCAACCTCACTGTACTTGGTGACAGTCAAAAAGCCCCTTCTTTAAAGAGCAGCACAGGAACCCTTGTCCTCCCAAAAAAGGGGTCTGTCAGAAAGCGATGGCAGAGGGAGCACCTGCGGTCGGTCGGAACAGCGGAATTAATAAATAGATGAGTGGAACAGAACATTCCAGAACTGGGGCGGGGGGGTGGTCACCTGCGAGCGTGCGCACCTGCGTGTGTGCTCACCTGTGTGTGTGCTCACCTGTGAGTGTGCATGTACATGTGTGTGAGAATCTTGGTTTGGTGAAGTCAGTATTTTAAAGAATAACAAAAAAGTAGTGGAAAACTGGTCATTTCTTGAGGCAATTGACTATTCATTCGGTCAAAAAACAGAAAACACCCCATATCTTTTATACTAAGCACAAATGACTAAAAAAAAACAAGTGTGAGAGTTTTAGAAGAAAACCCAGGTTTTGGGGCCTGGGGGTGAGAGGTAGGCGGTGCCGGGGCGTCCTGGGCGGGGCCGCCTGCGGCCGCGGAGTCACGGGGCCAGGTCCTGTGCTCTCCCGCGGTGACACCGTGTTTCGCTCCCTTCCCGCCTGCCGTGTTGGTCGTGCTGACTTGCTGTGGGTCGCGTGTCAGTCTTTGACAGGGCGATTAGAAGGCACGTGTTGGAGGAGAGGAATACTGCACTGGGGCTCTAAGGCTGTTGTTAGTAGAGCTCATAGCTGAGTATTTTCAGATCCCGGCAACGTAGGCGACCCCCCCGAGGTGGTGGGCGGGGGGAGCGCGGGCCCTCACGCTGGCCCTCGGGCCAGGCTGCCCTGCCCCAGGCCTGGGGGCCGAGAGCGTGGGTCCCGTGGCCGTCCTGGGAAGCGCGCTGACTTTCTCGCTCTTTTGCTGCTTCTGGAGTGAGGTCCCCGGGGAGGAAGCGAGGAGTCTGTCACAGGTGCTGGTTTCCTCCCGGGTCGGCCTGCCCGCTCACCGACTCCTTCCTCCCAGGCTCTCTGGGGGCGCCTCACCGCCCGCAGTCCGCCAGGCCCCCCTTCCGTCCCTGCGCGCTGAAGGCCGTCGGGTCAGCCGCCTGCCTTTCGACTTACGGTGGCGTTCTTGCTGCCAGGGGTTTTTAGCTTATGGCGTGTTAAAGCGCTGTGTCCACGCTTCTAAAAGGAGACTCCCCGTTAAAATCGGAACTCTCTCCGTCCAGGTGGTGGAGGACATCCAGTACCTCAAGTTCGACAAGGGGCCGTGGCTCAGCCAGGACGACCGCACCTTCCACCACCTGCGGATGCTGTGAGTGGGGGCGCCAGGGCAAGGGCGGGGCGGGCGGCGGTGCCGGCAGAACTGGGGAGGCGGGGGTTCGCGGCACCAGCCTGCGCTGGGGTGGGTTCCCTTTTCCCTTCCAAACAGGTTTCTGCCTTCCCTGGGCTGAGAGGGGGCTGATCGGATGCAGTGTTGATCCCGCAGATCCTTCACCTTCACCACCTGCCAGGTGCTGTGTCAGCTGTAGGGGACCCCATCAGAAACAGGCTTTACGGGGAGCTAGAGCCCCCGAGTTGTAGGGCTGTGTCAGTGCCCAAGGCTGGGAAGAGCGGCTGCCCCGAGTAACCGGGCAGCTCGTGGCTGAGCTTGGTGCATGAGCTGGTATTTCTATTGGCTGTTTATTTGTTCTCTTCATGCTCATCGATCCTTTTAAAGAATCAGCTTTTTGTTTTGTTGCTGTTCTTGACTGTTTTTCTGTTGTCAGTGTCATGGCTTCCTCTTGTAGATTTTATTCTTTTTTAATCTGCTTCCTTTGGTGTCAGCTGCTCGCTCACGTGCTTCCCTGGCCAGGTGATTGTCGGCCTTTTCCGAACGTGCGCTCTTAGTGCCGTGGGTTCCTCTCCGGTGCCGGCCGTTGGGGTTGAGGCCGTGCTCTGTGTGAGCTCTGCTCTGTCGCGCTGGGGATTAGGCTGGTGGGTGCCGGGGTCTTCTCCGTCCTGACTCGTGTGCCCGTGGAGTAAGAGGGGAGGGTGGGTTCCGCTGCCGTCGCGGGGCCGGGCCGTGAGCAGGGCCAGGGTGGGTGGCCAGTCCCCAGGCCCCTCCCCATGTTCCTGTCTGCTGGAGTGACAGATGCCCACGGAGAGGGTTCCGCGCTTCGGCTCACGTGGCGGTCATCTGTTTCTCTTCTGAGGTTTGTTCGTTTTCGCCTTGTGGATCTTGATGCTGTGCTGTTAGGTGTGTTACGTCTTCCTGGAGAGTGAGCTCATGTGTCGCTGTGTAATGCGCCTCTTTCCTGGGTAACGTTTCCGGCTCTGACGTCTGTCTCGTCTGGAACTGGCGCCTGCCCCGGCTTTTGGTGGGTGTGGCGGGGCCTGTCTTCCCCATCCTCACTCTGAGTGGGGCCTCGGGGTCTGGGTGGTGGGCTTCCGGTGGAGGCCGCAGGGCGGGCATCACGGCCTCTGGGCGCTTTCCTTCCTTTCCTTGCCAGCGACGCTGGAAGTCCTCTCGGCTTTCTGAGGCTCCGTGGCCTGGGCGCTCATCTTAGGGGCGTGTTCACGGTGCCATTCCGAACCAGGCTGTAGAAACCCACGTGCTCCCTTTAAGTGTGGACAGCGCTCCCCCTCCCGGGGGGCGGCTCAGGCCTCCGTGTCAGGCACGCGAGCAGGTCCGCACGGCATCCGGCATCCGGAAGGTGTCCCAGAAGCGTCCTCGGTCGCTCAGCACTGCTGCCCGGTGGGGAAAACGGCCCAGAGAACGCGACAGGCCGGCTGCGGGGCTGTGGCCTGCAGGGTACGCCTGTGGCCACGCACCAGCCACCGCCGTGCCCGCCCTCCTCTCGGCGGCTCCGGCCGAAACCCCGGTGAGACAGCCGCCTCCTTGCGTGGCTGTCGTCCGCCTGGCCCGCCGTTCCCCGCGGGCCCCTCGCCGTCCCCCGGGTCCCACGCGGTGGTTGGCGCGTCCGTCCCCAGCGACTTCCTTCCCCTGTGTTTTTCTCTCGTTGCTTCTGCGCCTGTGGGGTCTGAGCCCCTCATCCTCCACCTCTGTTCCCCTGGGTGGTCCTCGCTCCGTCTCGCCTGTCCCTTGTGCGCACGCCCACCAGGTGGCGGCGGTTCATGATCGTGGCCGAGAGCCCTGTGCCCCTGACGCAGGACCCTCGGCGGCAGAGCTGCGTTTAGTCACGGGCGCCAGCCTCACGGCCCGGAGTGCTCGCCGAGTCCCGGCCCCTGTCAGCCCCCTCCGCCCCGCGCCCCGCGGGTCCCTCAAAGCCCGAGCGCTCTTCTCAGCCGGCGGCAGTCCCCTTGTTTCTCCTGGAAACCCGCCTCCTCCTGACTCCTCCAGGCCATGACTGCGCGGGTCTCGATGGGGTTCTTGTTGGTGGCCGTCAGCCCCACGGGGCCAAATACGCCAAGTGCCACCTGCGTCCTGCTGAGGAGCAGCCGCGCGGGGTTGCCGCCTGGCCCCTGCCATTGGTGACACGCTGCCGTTTTCACACCTAAGCGTGTGTTCGTTTGATTCTAGGCCACGTCGAAAATTCTGTTGGAGTCATAGTTTTAGCAGTTCCTTAGTCGCGTGGTCATGGGAGCGTGCAGAGGCTGAAACTCCTGCCAGGCTCTGGCCACTCCCACCGTCCAGTCCCTTGTTCTGACTCGTCTGCCGCAAACGCGGTCCTTCCCCTCCGGGCCTCTCCCCTGCCCCGAGGGCGTTTCCGAGCGGCGCAGGGTAATCGTGTTTATTTTCACTCCAGTCCCATTTCTTAATTTGGGGGCTCAAGTGAAAATTAGGATCAATTTTCTAAGATAATTACTGTAAACATGCCATTTACCAGCTATACTCATTTTGTCCAGAACTTGACCAAATTGCCGGTTTGGAGCATTTTTGTGCCGGCTCAGCTGCGTGTCGGTGTGTAATTGTGTGTATGTGCGCTGGTGCTGAGCGGGGCCGTCTCCCACCTGGGAGGGACGCGGTGCTCGCAGCCGTGACCCGCAGCCGACCGGTGCCCGCGCCCTCGGCTGCAGCCAGGCGCCCCCCCCCCCGTGCTTGGCGACTGCCGGAGGCTGTCCCTCTGATGAGGGTTCTGGTGCCCGGGTGAGTTTTAGGAGAAAATAGACATTCTGTTGATTGGAGAACAGTCTGAGTCAGAAAACGTACTTACTGTTTTATTTTTTCTGTCTTCTCTTGCATCCCTCTTTGTTTTTAAAAATGTGGGGCGCAGCCCCTCGGGTATGAGCCAGACGCGGGTGTGATCGCCCGCGGGGGCCCTGCGGGCTGGGGTGCCCGGAGGCCGCGTTGTGCGCGGCCCGTTTCTGAACTCTCCCAAAGGCGGCGCGTGCTCTGCCCTCACGGTGTCCTCCCCGCGGCTTTCTGCTTCCTGTCGCCGTTGTCCCTCCTCATCTCCAGCCTGGATGCACCCGCAGTGGGTGAGAGAGGCAGGCGTGGGCAGCGAGCGGGCAGCTCGGTCTGAGTCCCCGTCCCCGCCCCCGCACGCGGCAGAGCACCAGAAGGGCAGTCCAGGCCCCTCACGCAGGCTGTGAACGATCGCAGGTTATGTTTTAGTCTTCAAAGGACAGTTTGGAGCTTGCTTGTTCGGCTACATCCTTTGCAGTTTGTGTGTGGGTGTAATTCCGCCAAACTAAACACAGGTGGCGCTGTGGCTCCGTGTACATCCCCTCCCCCCAGTTCCGTGACCGGTGAGAGCCTCAAGTTTTCCAGAATTGTTGTAGAATTTTAAGCCATAGAGAAAACCAAATCGTACCCACCTTGATATTTGTTAACACTTAAAAATATGAACTTCACTCTTAGTTGAAATTATTTATGGTGAGATCACTTTAAGAATTTGTGCTTATATGGTAAGAATAGAATAATTCTATTTGTTTAAAAGTAAGAAGGGGGGCGTTTATATGCTACTGGCATAGGCTAGTGAAACAGATGCCGGAAACGGCGCCCGTCGGGGCGTGTGCGGGGCCGGCGCCCACCCACACCAGGCCCTGGGGCAGCGCGCAGAGCGAGGTCTGGCCGCAGGGCGTCAGGGCGGCATTGCCACTGCACAGGGGCGTGGCTGTCGCTGGCAGCACCTGGGCGTTCCTCCACCGGCCGTCGGCACTCACCTGCCTCGGGGTCAGCGTGTTCTGGGGACGGGCTCGGCGCGAGGCAGCGGAGGGAGGGCCGGAGGTGTCCCGGGGCTGCCCTCGGGCCGTGGCCTGCAGAGCCGCCGCTGCTCGTGGCGGGACAGTGGCTGCTTAAACACGTGGTTTTCTTTGTTTTGAGCCCTTAAGAAAGGAGACTTTGTCTCAGTGTTTCTTTCTAAGAGCTCCTAAAATGCTTTTCATCTTCGAGTATGGTGGTTATGTTCAGACTAAACGTAAGCAAATCATGACAGCGTAAACATTTCGGCGTTCAGCAGCACGAAGTGGGGAAGCAGGGAGAGGGCCCTGCGGTTTGCACTGACCGGGGCGAGAAGGCCAGCGAGCTCGACCTTCCATAGCTGACGGCGCGCCAGCCGCCCGTGTGGGAGTCACGCCCACGCCCACCCCACGCCCTGAGCCTGCGAGCGGCCCGCTGCCGCAGCTGGCACGGTGCCGCACCGTGGACCTGGAGGGACGGCTGGGCTCGAGGCTCTTTCCCTCAGGACTTGGTCATGGTACACGTTTCCACAAGGACACTGTGACGTGTGGCATCGTGACATGTGACGTCTGTCCTTGCCCTTTGTTCCTGCTGCTCCTGTGCTTAAAGCAGCTGCGGCTCCTGCTCTGCGTGTCCAAACCGCACCCGTTTGCCAGGTCGGATGCCGAGGCTGCCAGGAGCCGCACTGGAGAGGGCTGCTGGGCACGCGCGGCCTTTCTCTGACGTGCGAGGTTATTAACACGATCTGTTCAGAAAGCAGCCTCGCAGCTTAGTCTGCCGTTTACCTCGGCGGTTTGGCTGAGCACTGTCGTCTGCTTCCCTAGGGTCCAGGACAAGCTGCAGGTGCTGAACTTCACCACGATCCCCGTCTACCTCCCCGAGATCACCATCGGCGCCCACCAGAGCGACCGTGTCTTCTGCAGGTTCACGGAGGTGAGCGCCTGGGGCAGAGCGCTGTCCCGCGGGGTCTGCTGCCCCTGGCGGCGGCGTTGCTGCTCTGAAAAGCGGCTCGGCTGTTGTCTTCGCCTTATCTCCGTGAAAGAGCTGTCTTTTCACTGAAGCGGTTCTCCTTTGTCCCCTTCCCCCAGCGGGGAGGGCCGGCCGCACTCAGGGCGTGCACGGGGCGGGGGTGCGGCCGCGTCGGCGCGCCCTCCCCCTCGGTGGACAGACGCCTGCGCTCCGCAGCCTTTGTCGGCGATTCCTCAAGGGCAGCCGGGCTGGTGGCGTCGCTTGGCTCTCCCTGGAGCCCCACGGCTCCCGTCCGACACACTGTCCGTGCGGGAGGCCCAGGCGGCAGGTGGGCGCCTGGGGCAGGGCCTGCATGGGTGGCGCTCAGGGAGCGTCTCCCGGCGCGGACGCGGCCGAGCAGCGGGCGCCGCGCTCACGGCCTCCGACGGCGGGAGCAGGTCTCTTCTGTTGAGGCCGGAGAGTCCCTGGCAAGGCCCACTCGACCTCTGTGTTCTGCCCTCGAGCGTGACAGCCGCCACAGCTGCCCGCCCGCGGCGGCCCGACCTGGGGCCCCTGGGCCCTGTGCAGAGCAGTCAGGGGCCGGGTCTGACCCTCACCCGCGTGTGAGGCCTGGTCTGAGCCCCAAAGGGAAGGGAAGCCCTGGGCCCCCACCCTCCCACCCCCGTGAGCAGCAGCGGAATCACCTGGGCCGGGACTCTGCATGTTAAATGACGGCGCACCCTGGCTGCCAGGTCAGCATCTAGCCCTTGGTAGGCGGGTCCGTTTCCCCTTAAGCAAGCAGGTCCGTGGCCCGGAGCGCCCCCTGTGCACGGGAGTCCGGGGGCGCGCAGGGGCTGCTGCTCGCCAGGAAGCGGGCGGGGCGGCCGCCCAGCCAGGAGGCTCCGCAGGCTGGACCTGGAAGGGGCGGACGTGCCTCGGGCCCAGCAGTCGGGGGCAGCCAGGAGCCGGGGACACGGCCTGTGGCTCCCGCTTGTGCGCTCACAGCTGTGTCACGCGGAGCAAGCCGCTTGCCCCCTTTCCATGTCCTGCCCACCTGTCCCGGCGGCACCCCAGGAGCCAGGCTGCGCTGTGCATTGTGTCTGGAGAACACACGGCAGAGCCCGGGACAGCCCCCCACGTGCAGGGCCCAGCCCTGCGGACGCAGGGAGGCGGAGCTGGGGCCCGAGCGCACCCTTAGCAGCTCAGACCCGGGAGCAGAGCCCTCCCTGAGGTGGCCCTGAGCCGCGGGCTCCTGCTGGCCTCTCCCAGGGACCAGCAGCTCCTCCGGCCCCAGGGCAGTGCCTGCCCAGAGACAGCCCCCAGGAGGCTCCATGCTGGGGAGGGGCGGGTGGGGGAGAGCTTGGAGGGCCTGTGTCTGTGGCTGTCTCCTGCGTGGACTTGGATTTTTAGTGGGCAGCGGAGCAGGTGGGGAACGGCCTCCTGGAAGCGCTGACTTCCCGAGTGCGGGCGCAGACGGCCCCGCGGCGGAGGGGGCGAGGGTGGCGCTGCCAGCGGGCCCTCTCTGTGCCCCGGCGGCTGCGGGGCGGAGCCAGCGTGCGGGCGCCCAGACCGCGTCGCCAGGCCGCCTGGGGACGGGGCGCAGCGTCAGGTGGTGGTGGGGTGGGCCCCTCCGCAAGCACCCCTGGCTCCCCTCGCTCCGCAGGTCGCCGCCCGCCGGGTGTCCAGGAGCGCCTGGCCGCTGGTGCGCAGGCCCTGCTCCGGGGCTGGTTCCCGTGAGCCTGCGGCCGGGGTAGAGGCGGGTGCGCGGGGGTCAGGACAGGCCTGTGAGCCTGTGGTGACCATGGTGCTTCCCTCTGCAGCTGCCCGGCCGCCGGTACAGCCCTGGCTACAACGAGGACGTGGGCGACAAGTGGATCTGGCTGAAGTGACGGTGCCTCCGCAGAGCTGCTGCGCGGCGATGGGCGGCTCCACCGGCTTCGGGGTCGGGGGGGAGGGACTGTCAGAAACTGCGCCGTGATGGAGCCCGCAGCATCGGCGGGTGGAAGGCAGCACCTTCCCCTTGAGAGGGTTTGGAACCTCCAGGCTTCGTGTGGGGTGCGGGGCGGTTGCTGCCGGGGGGCGGGCCTGCGGGAGGCTGGGCGCGGCTGGAAGCCCCTCGGCCCCCCTCCGTGTGCCCCCGTTGTGCGGGTTTGCACGTCGCTTCCCCGGACGTTGACAAATAAAGCAGCTCCTCGACGGTGTCTCCCCTGGACCTTGGCTCGCGCAGCCCCCGCGTGCCCGTGTCCGTGGGCCGTCCGCTCAGGTGTTCGCGGTGACGAGTTCAGTGTGACTCAGATGCACGTCAGGGTTAAGGCACTTGTTCCGTTTGCTTTAACAACGGTTAGAGAAGAGCAAAGAGGGAATTCCAAAGCCAGCCCGTCGGCTCTGAGAGCGGCTGTGATGTGTGACGGGCATCGTCACTGGGCTCGCAGTTCTGTCCCCTGAAGGGGGGGTCGTGCTGAGAAGTCAGTGGGGCAAAATCCAAGAGCAAAAGGATAGCCTTTGCGACCTGAAGATCAGCTCGTCAGCCGCAGAGTGGAGAGAGCACCCCGTTCCTCCCTCACTGCCGCCTGCCGAGCGCCGAGGACGCGAGCCTGTCCCGCCAGCCCAGCTTGGGAGCGGGGCGCCGTGCTGCGGGCCCCACGGCAGTGAGCCTGTGCTCCGGAGCCGCCCGCGTCCGCGCGACCCTGTGGCTCAGCCAGCTGCCATCAGGTGCAGCTCCGGGTTCGGGTCGTCGTCTGCCCTGGCTGCGGCCTGGGAGCTCGGTGGCCACAGGGCCCGTGGCTGCCTGTCAGACCGAAGGGAGCCGCCCCTCCTCTCTCTCTCTCTCTATCTCTCTCTGGGTTTTAGGAATTGAAAATAAAGCTTCCCAGCAGTTCTGAGTTGGAGTTCAGATTTAAGAGGCCAGAGGTTTGCGTTTCCCTCAGAAACAGCGGCATTAATGACTCCGTGAGCGAGCCCTGGGCAGCCGGCCGGCCAGGGCGTGGCTGGGTCACGTGCCACCCACAGCCCCTAAGGAGGAAGGGAGAGGACCAGCGTCTGCCGTCTGGGCTGTCCTCGGGTGCGGGGAGGCGAGCCGGCTCCTCACGTCTCGCCTCGAGGTGCTCAACTGGGGAAGGGGGGCAGCTGAGGGCCAGGCCTGCCTTTGAGGGACAGCGGGCCCGACGGGGGCGTGTGGACCCTGGTGTGGGGCCCCCTTCCCTGGCCGGTGTGCGGTTTGCACTTTGTGCTGAGGCAGCGTCACCGCTTTGGCCTCTGGTGTTTTCTTTCCTGCGAGGGGTGGGCAGGGGAAAGCAAGTACATGCTGTCCGGGCCTCTGAGTCGAAGCCCCAGAGCCGAGGAGGCCCCCAGAGCAGGGCAGACCCGGCTCCGGCGATGCCACAATCCTTCAGGAAACCGCATTCTTAAACATTCCGTGTGGGGGTGCGCGAGGCGCGGGCCCCGCCTGCCGCCACGCTGCGGTGTCGCGCCTCCAGCCGCGCTCCGTCGTTCTCGGGCGTTGCGCGCCGAGCAGAGCGCGCTCAGTTTTCTAAGGCTGCTTTCTGTTCTGTCCGGTGCTGTGGCCCTCAGCGTGAGATCGCTCAGCGTCTCGGAGGCTGTTACAGACCGAGAGCTGCGTCCACCTCAGCCAAGCAGGGCCTCCGGGGGGGCTGCGGCTCGCCCGCCTCACCCCCTATTGCCGCCGGCGTGACGGAGCAGCTTCTGAGCTCGGCCTGTCTGCGGACCGGGTGTGTGCTCAGCACAGCGGGTGAGGCGCCTCCCCGCAAAGAGCAGGTGCCCACAAAGCTCCGCTGACGCTGCTGTCACTTAAGCTCAAGTGTCGACCTCTGTCCGACGAACAGAACTGCAGGAAGCCTCGTGTCTTGCCTGCCACAGCCCGTGGGCCCCGCGGGGGGCTGGGCCGTCCCGTGCGTGGGCAGCTCCCCGGGGCGGGGTGGCCGGGCTCGGGGGCGCCTGGGCCGGCAGAGCGGCCAGGGCAGCTGCGTCCCCGGGAGAACGCGGCCCGTGCTGCCCCACCCACCCCAGGCACAGGTCTGCGGCGGTCGGGGCTCAGCCACGGGTAGAGGCAGGGTGCAGGGGCTGCCGTCCGTGCGGGCTTGAGCTGCGCTCAGTGAAGGGGACCCGCGCCCAGGACGCGGGCGGGCCGTCGGAGGGAGGCGGAGCCGGAGGCCACAAGCCTGGGCCCCCTGCGCCTGATGGGGGTGAGGGTGCCGCCGCCTGCTCTGTGGCCTGCAGGGCGCTGTGCAGGTCCCCGGGTACCCGCGCTCTGGGGTCCTATGGCTTTTACGCCCCGACTCCCGGGTTGGCAGGACTGCGTGTGACGGGCGAGACCCGGGCCCGACGGAGCTCTGCCCCCGCCCCAGGGCGCCATCCGTCACTCACGGGGACCCACGGGGACCGAGCTTGCGGAGCGCGGGGCTGTGGGGTGCGGGCCCCGGGGCTGGGGAGGGCTGTGCCGCTGCCCCGGAGTGCGGGGAGGCCCGCGTGACGACCTGCGGGGTCCTGCCCGCCCCCCGGAGGAGCCCATCCAGGCCGGGCGTGGGGCCCAGCGAGGAGACGAGGTCCAGGCACAGTGAGTGGGGGCTGGGGGCTGGGCGCTGGTGACGTGGCTGCGTGGGAACATGCCCTGCTCTCCCCGGGACGGCGACCCCACGCCCGGGGCTCCCGCGGGACGCACGCAGCGGGGCCGCTGTCATCGCTGTGTGACGCCCCCGCCGCAGCGCCCAGGGGCGGGAGAGCAGGGCGGCAGCCTCCTCGGCCGGCATGGCCCTGCCCGTCGCGCCCCAGCCGGGGCGCCGGAGAGACGCCGAAGCCTTTGCCGTCCAGGCTGGGCACGCGTGCCGGTCCCGCCCAGGAGCACCGGAGCCCTGGGGCCGCAGGGAGGCCGGCAGGCGGGCAGGGCCCGCCCGGGAGAGCACCGGCCGCGTTCAGAGCTGGACTGGCTTTTCCCTCCGGCGTGGGGTGACCGTGCCAGCGTCCCTGCCCTGAGGGCGTGACCTCCAGGGCTGGGCGGTGGACGGGACACGGGTCAGGGTGTCTGGCCCCCCCGCGGCCGGACACGGCCACTGTCACCCTGTCCCGGGCCCTGCTAGCTTCCTGCCCGGGAGCCCTGGGAGCACCCTCGGCCTGGCCGGTCGCCGCGGCTGCAGGTGCGGGGGGGAAGGGCAGCGCCCCCCTCCCCCAGGAGACTCACTCTGGGGTGGACGCGCTAGCCTGGGCCGGGGCTGGTTTAGGGGAGTCAGACTCCTTGGTTCTGAGGGACAGAGGCGCCTCTGCCCCTGAGGGACTCGGTTTAAGGAGGCTTGGCCCTCCGCTCCCGCCCGACACCCTCGGCCGCGGGGGTTCTGCCGGCCGGGGCCCGGGTGACGTCGAGGGCTGCGGAACGGTCCCCAGAAACCTGAAACACATTGAGCAAGGAAAGAGAACGTTCGGTCAACCAAAACAGAGGTGCAATCTCGAGCCCCTCGGGGGAAGCAGAGACCGACTGCAGGAGAACCGTGCGTCGGAAACACGCAGCCAGCGGAGGCGAGGACGGCCACCGGCCACGGCCCCGGCCCCACAGCCCGGGCCGCCTGCGCGCGAGCTCCGCGTGGGAACGCGGCCCTGGGATCGCGGGGGTGGCCTCGGTCCCAGCCGTCCGGCCGGTGTCGCTGAGCCACAGCAGTGAGGCCGCGGGGGCAGGGGCGGGGCAGGTCACGGTCACATCCAGCGAGGGCCACGTCCAGCAAGGGCCGGGCGGGCGCGGCCGCCCGGCGGGAGGCACTGCGAGGGCCGCAGGGACAGCAGCGTCTGTCTGGGAATCTCACAGCCAGGGGCGACGCAGTGAGCGCATTTACATTTACATGGCGCTCGTTTATAAAACGCTGCCCTAAAAGTCATCTTAGCAGGTCTCCATTTGAGATACTGTGTAATCACTTACACAAAAGCAATAAAACCAAAAGGAATGTGTCACATTCATCTCGGAAGACGAAATTCTGGCTGTTTGTGGGTTATTTGAGTGAATTTATCAGCAATAACAAAGATGGTGTAATTACACTGCTCGCAAATAGGGCCAAATGGAAGCAGCTGACAGAGGCGTCCCGAGTGTCCTGCGGTCACGGGACGCCACCGCCGGGCGGCCTGGAGTGGCTTCCACGCGAGCCGATGGGTCCTCGCTCCGGGGCAACGTCCGCGAAGGGAAGCCCGAAGCGTTTCGGGAGAGAAGCCTCTGGCCGGGGTCCTGGGTCCTCGGAAGCAGCCGCCCCGGCGTGGGGCAGCTTGGAGGCCACTCACGTCTGCCCTCGGGCTGTGTGGGCAGTACAGACACCCGCTGGGTGCCTTCGGGGCAGGGTAGGGCGGGACTCCCACACAGGGTTGCCCCCGTGTGTGTCTGGGGCGCGGGTGGTCCTCCCCAGGGGCTGCCGGGCCCTGGGGCAGGCGGGGCGGGCGGGGCGGGCAGAGCCCGGGCTCCCGGGAGGCGCTGTGCCCCAGCCAGCGGCTCGGTCGGTCGGGCAGAAGGGCCTGGCCCTCTGACAGGTTCTCCGCTGGCCCCAGCGGGGAAGGGGGGCTTCCCTCAGGCTGGCAGGCGCATCGGCTCCTCCACCCGCCTCGTTCACTCTGGGGCTCGCTGGTCCCCCTCCGTCGGGAGCGCTGAGCAGGAATGGCCCTCGTCTGGGACGTCTGCGGCCCTTGGACCCCTCGGGCGGCTGGTCCATCCTCCGCCCGGTGTCTGCCCAGGGGCTGGTCACGGTCCCTCCGGGGTCCCTCTGTCCCTTCTGCTGTCGGGAAGGGTCTGCATTCACCCCCCCCCCGTGTCCTTTGGCGCCCCCCCCCCAGCAGCCTCAGACCCTTGGGGGGCGGCGGTGCCCCCGCGCCCGGCAGCTGCCAGGGTCCCACGCCTGCGAGTGAGAGCCCAGCGGCCTGGCCTGGGCCTGAAGCGCCGGGACGTTCACTGTGAGGCGGGCAGCGGCCCCCGGGATCGGCCGTCCTGGCAGCTTCGTTAATGACAGCGGCGGCCCGGGCGCTCACTGCCTTCCCGTTGGGACAGCCGCTCAGACTCCCGCGCGCAGCGCGTCCGTCCCGCCGCCTGGAAGCACTGCTTCTCAGTGCCCTGCAGCCCGGCCCCGGCCTCGGGCTCCTGGCCTCTTCAGAGCCCCGGCGCCGGGCCTCCGGAGGGTCACTTAGGAGCTGCCCACCCCCCAGCGCAGGCCTCCGGTGGTCGGCACCGTGTCCGCCC